TACTACTACTACTACTACTACTACTACTACTACTACTACTACTACTACTACTACTACTACTACTACTACTACTACTACTACTACTACTACTACTACTACTACTACTACTACTACTACTACTACTACTACTACTACTACTACTACTACTACTACTGAAGTACAACAGATGTACGGGTGCTCCTGCCACCACTGCTAGCTAACACGACACCTACGACTGCACCCGCTGATATGTCGTGCTAGTCCCACTATTATCACTGCCACTACGCAGACTATACAGCGTCATGGACTGAATGAACGGCTCCAACGAACGATCCAATGGAATTTAAATTTCCGCCGAGTCCCATCCCACACCTCCTCCGCTAACTTCCGAGCAGCCGCTTCGTTCACAGAAGGAGTCCTGGAACAGGGCAGTCCAGCGCCGAAGCAGGGCTGCCCAGCGAACCGAGACCCAGCCCTGCGCAGCTGGCAGCTCCTCCCATGCCGGAGGAGGAGACTGCGAACCAGGACGCGAAGGCCGCAAGGCGCAAGGTTGAAGTTCAGAAGGCCACGCAGAAGAAGGCCACGGAAGACGCGAAAGCCACCAAGAACCACGTGGCCGAGTTGGCCGATGAGTCCGCGGGGCTCAGATACCCAGCACAACTGCTAGCCAGCGGTTGCTCGCCGACCAGCCCTGACGGGAGCCACGGCAGCGCGGGGACAACACGCGACACTGAAACTGGCACAATTGCGAGTGCCGTGAGCCCCAACCGACCAGGACAGGGGGATCACAAAAAGCTTGCTTGGAGCTTGGTTTGGGGATTTACGCCGACGGCAATGCAGGCCGATTCGGTCGCGCAGGAACTGCTCAAGCGGCGGCCCATTGCGAGCTCACCTCGAGCTACACCTCCTCTGTCTCGTCCGCCGCCCCCATTCTCTCACCCCTGTCTCCGCTCCAGTAAGGGGACAAAAAAATGGAACCCCTTCGTCTTCGGCCCCGCATTCGCCCCCCCGCCCCCCCTCCCCCCAATTTCAAAGGTGGGTTCGGCCTCTCGGAGGCCCTGGGGGCTCCACTTTTTTTGTCCTCTCCCGCCTGTGCTGCCAAATGCTCGAGGCCAACTTTGAAATTGGGGGGAGGGGGGGCCGCGGTGTCAGGGGTTCCACTTTTTTGTCCATCTCCGCTCCCCATCCCCGCCCACTCTCCCCTTCGCTCCCCCGCGGCCGCCGTCCCCGGGCCCCCCGACGCGACGCGCCCTTGTGGCTCCGCACGCCGTGAGCGCTCTACGCCGTCTGTCGGGGCCGTGCTGTGTCGGCCGAGGTGCCCGTGCCCTTGGAAGCGAGCAGGGGCCCGCTGGAACCACCGAGGCCACATTGGGTGGGGCGAGCGCAGGCGCAGAGCCGGGGCAAGCGGGGCGGGGGAGCACCTGGCTGGCGGCGGCGCCCCTCCCTCCCCCACTCCGCCTCTGTCCTCCTCGTCCTCCTCTTGCTCTGTCCCTCGTCCTCCTCGTCCTCCTCGTCCTCCTCGTCCTCCTCGTCCTCCTCGTCCCCCACTCCTCCTCTGCCCTCCTCTTCCTCTGTCCCCTGCTCCACCTCTTCCTCGTGCACTCCGTCGCCCCCAGCGGGCCGACAGATACAGCCGACCCGTAGAACAAGGATGCGCGGTGAGGATGCAAAGGGCCTTGGAGGGCCATGCTGACGTTTTTTCGAGCGAGGTTGGCCAACGATAGGGGCCAAGGATGGGCAGAATGGGCAACGGTGCAAGGGTATCTCTGGAAAGGTGCTCATCATTAGTATGCGGGTTGACTGTAGCAGCAGGCACAGGATCAGGTTCAAAATCATCTGCGCAGGCCAGAGAAAACTCCAACGTGTGTGTCTGGTGTATCGGAAGTTCTGGCAAAGACCGACCACAACGAAGTTTAAAACGCGATGGCGTTCAGAACGAGAACGAAAACGAAAACGAACGTTTACGACAAAACGTTTAAAATCGATACGGGTGCAAACAACAAGGAACATGAAACGATGCCGCCATTCAGCGAGACAACGAAACGACCTGTTCTGGCAAACGCCATGCCTGCTCGCCATGGCTGCAGGCCGACCTCATGTTTTGTCGGCGTGAGTTCGCCACTCGGGCCACCGCGGGCCAGTCTCGCCTAGTGCCAAGAACCGGTGTGCCCGTTCAAGCAATAGAGAACTCAGTTGACGTCTCGCTCTTCTGCCCAGGCGGCCAAGAGGCCTCCAAGAGGCCCCATGATGCCCTAAGGAGGCTCCCGATATGCGTCCAACGGGCTCTTAAGAGGCATCCAGGAGGGTTCTGCTCTTTCCGTTCCTCTTCCTGCATCTCCTCCTCCTCCTCCTCCTCCTGCTCCTCCTCCTCCTCGTCCTCTTCTTACACATCCAGGATCATCCTCCCCCAGTCAACGCAACCACCTGCTTTAGTATCGGTGTCCAGAGGGGGAGAAAAGGGAAAGGAGAAGGAGGAGGAGGCGAAGGAGAAGGAAGAGGAGGAGGAGGAGGAGGAGGAGGA